AAGCCGGCTCCATACTTTCTTGCCATCTAGTGACGAGCAGCATGGGGATGGCTTCCCTGCTAATTGGGAAGCGAGTCATTACACACCGCCTGACTTCCTGAATAGGACTTCCAGTATCAATATCAGCCAATACCGGAAAAAAATATCGGTAATCGATACTGAAATACCGGTATTGGTGCATCCCTAAAAATAATAGTAACTGATCAGTCTAGGTGCTGCAGGAAATGTTCTTGGAAAGATGCATTACAGTGCAAAGTGAAAGCCCAACTGAGACTTCACATGTAAAAAGGAATTTGGCTCAATACTCCCGGTGTCAAGGAGATGGTCTGCATGCAGTGGGAATGTCCGCTTCAAAACCCCTTTTACACATGTATATAAAGGGTGACAGGAAACTTCACAGTAAAAAGCATTAGGTGTGATAAACCCCTTGTGACCCCAACCAATGCTCTAGACGAGGTGAATACATACATGTGAAACAATTCCTGGAATGAACTCATTGTTTGCATTACAGGTTATAGTGCTGAGCACACATTGTGATATGTTTGCTCCATTCTGAAGAATGGGGGGGTTGTACCACACAAAACTAACACACATCTACATTACAAATCTATTCCAGTCTTCACTTATCCACACTACACATTTTATTGAGAAAATGCATTTTAACACAGAAAATATTAAAAGGAGAACTATGAGGTGAGTGCTTTTCACTCACCTCATAGTTCTAGCCGACCTGTGACAATGAGACTGTCACAGGTCGGCTCAGTAGATCGGGAGGTGAGCGAACACATACCGGCGTTCGCTCACCTCTCGATCCTGTCACAGCTCTCTGCCGTGACAGGGGAGGGGCTGGATTCCCCCCTCCGATCCGCCAGCGCTGCCTGGCGGAACGGACGGGGCGAGTTTAGCTGGCTCTGCCGCTAGATAGGCAGAGCCAGCTGTCAGTCACGCAGTTGGGCGGATCCAGACATAATTGTCGGGATCCGCTTCAGCGTCTCAGTATACCGCTACAGCTTTGGGTGACGGGAGGATGCTAGTTTGTGTCCTCCCGTTACCCTAAGGAGAACTATGGGGAAAAGCCTTAACCCCATAGTTCTCCTTTAAATATTGGATGGTTTGCCCAAGAATCCTCGTGGAGTCCATCTTTGGTTTGAATTTGATGTCTCTGTACATTTGATTAGTACAGAATTGCAAGTTCTTAGGGCTAGTTCACACCAGATGCAGTTGTGGTGCAGTCCGTTCTGTTTTGCAGCTGCATCAAAAACACATAACAATGCTTTCCTGTGGTATTTCTTGTGCTCTGTTAACACCATTGCATTCCGTTCCGATGCAGCCATAAAAAATACTGCTTGCCCTATTTTAGCTGCATCATAATGCGGCAGAACGCATAAAAACCCATGTGAACGCACCCAAAATCCCATTTTAAGCAAAACAAAAACGCATGAATCATGGTAAAAATCGCTGCAAAACACATCGCACTGCAGGTGCGCAGATGCATGCGATTCTGATGCAGTTCTGGTGTGAACCAGCCTCTAGAATTATGTTGGGCATAACACCTACCCGCTAGTGTGTGCTGTGAAGGGACGTAGCTATGTGCTGTAATAATGCATCACGCGGTTTACCTTTTTTTTTTTACTAATTGAAATGTCACAAAATGACATTACATCAGATCGAGGCAGCATGTTGTGACACACCGCAGTGACATACATTATGCTGTCTTCATATGCACAGCACTCCACTTGCCTGGTGTGAGTAAGGTACATAGAAAACATTTTATGCAGATCAACGGACATGAATGTGTGAATGAGCCCTAGAAGCGGAACTGCTGTGGGTCCTCAGAGATACCCTTCGCTCTAGTGACCACTGTCCTCAGGATTCGAAAAGTAAAAGTGTTATGTTGTAGAGGAATAGAGGGAAAATCTGCCAACAGAAACTTTTTCTAGTGGCAACTAAGCACCATTCACACCTAGGTGTTGTCATGACAAAACACTCAGCACATGAATTCCCATTGATTTCCCCGACCACGCCTGAGAGTTTTGTCACAAGCTGCAAAACTGTCAATAGAAAGAGTTCCGGATAGAGCTGCAGCTAACGATTATTTTCAAAATCGATTAGTTAGCCGATTATTAAGTCCGATTAATCGGTTAATCGGATAAAAAATAAAATAATTTTTTTTTAAATAGCTCCAGTGATGGACTACTAGTTTGTATTGAGATTGCAGTCCATAACAGGAGCAAGCTTGGAGCGGTGGAAGTAAAAGAGAAAAAAAAATAGTGTGGTGTGCAATATAGTGAAATGAAAAGTGTAAAATTATACAGCAATGAATGCAGAATGGCGTAGGCTCTAGAGGACTACAAATCCCAGTAATACATTATACAGCACAATACAGAATACCACCAGCTATAGAGGAGTACAGCAAATCCCAGCAATAGCACATTATAGCTGGTGGTATTCCGCATTGCGCTGTATAATGTATTGTTGCTGGGATTTGTAGTCCTCTATACAGCGCAATGCAGAATACCACCAGCTATATAGGAATACAACAAATCTCAGCAATACATTATACATACAGTGTATAATGTATTGCTGGGATTTGTATTCCCATGTATAATATACAGCACAATGTACCATCAGCTATAGAGGAATACAAATCCTAGCAATACATTATAGAGTACCATGTGGGGGGGAGGGAAAAGTAGGCTTACTTGAGCAGTCTTCCAGCAACTTGCTTCTGAGATCGGGCCTGTCTATTGGCGGCTGCCATCCGCCCACACCTGCTCCTCCTTACTTCTTCTCTCCGCGTCCGTGTGCCAATCGTGGATTTGGGCGGGCGAATCTGGCAGCGGCGAGCGTGAGGTGGGGAGGTGGTGTGGCGCGCAGCGTGTGTGGAGCCGTGAACAGGGCCAACCAATAGGAATCCGATTAATCGATGATTGAAAAAGTTGACAACTTTTTCAATAATCGATTATAATCGATTATGTCGATTAGTTGTTGCAGCCCTAGTTCCGGAGCTTCTTTGGGGCGTTTTGCAGTGCGCTTGGCACCAAAGACTTCAATGGTACAGGCTGAAAAACATGCGACACAAGTGTTATGCCTATTTCTGTGCCCATTTCTCCATTAACTGTAATGTCTTTCAATTGGCCAGCTAAGACGCATCTTCATGTGCACGAATCTGACACGTGTAAAAATGTGCAAAACATGATGATTAGGCAAGAACACTGATATCTGGCTGTGACTGCAATTTCGGAAAACAGTAGGCCCCCCTGCACTCCTTACAGCGTTTGCGGTCCAAGTAACAATGGTGGTGCTCGCAGTGACAATCCCGGATGGCGCCGTGAACAGCAGTCAATGAAGGATAGAAATCACCAGCACTCAGTAGGTCACATCTCTGCCCTGACGAAGGGACCCTGCGTGGTCCAGAAACGTTGGATACTGCGATATGTGTGACGTTTAGTTCAAATAAATGGACGATATTTTTAGAACTTCCTCTACTGAGTGCTGGTGATTTCGATCCTTCATTGATAGCTGTGAATGCAGACTAAGAATTTCCCCTCACTTGTGTCTACAGGAAAAGAAAAGTCTCTCTCATAGGACACGGGCAGCCTACAAGACGATGAATTGGGGGAAGTGCCCAATGGCCTTTGGGCTGCTTATTTGGTGAAGGAAACTTCCCCTTAGCTTAGTGATATGAGGTGACGTTCTGCTGACTTCCATCAGCCAATCATGTGTGCGCAAAAAAAGTTTGTTTTAAAGAGGAACTTCAAGCTCTCAAATTATTATTTTTTTCCTCTCATGCATTCACTGAAGGACACAGCGGAGATCTTGAATGTCTAACCATAGGGGTTTCCCCGAGCAGGTTCAGGACTTGTTAACTATACCAATGGCTGAGAGATTCCAGCAGCAGCTCCGACAGTCAACTGAAATGTGTTTTTTTTGTTTGTTTTTTTTTTAAAGGAGAACTATGGGGTTAGGGCTTTTCCCCATAGTTCTCCTAAGGGTAACGGGAGGACACAAACTAGCATCCTCCCGTCACCCAAAGCTCAGCTGCAGCTCGCGGTATACTGAGACGCCGCAGCTGAAACGGATCCCGACAATTATGTCTGGATCCGGACAGCTGGCTCTGCCTAAAAAACACTCCTCATAGTTCTCCTTTAAAGCGAAACTTCGCCCAAATTAGTGTTTTTTCCCCCATTCAGTTACCTTTGGCTCTCTTTTACCAGCCCAGCGGATCCAGGGTTGTCCTCTGTTCCCTCACCTCTGTGGTCCTACACGTCCCCCGCTGCCATCCATTACATCACAGGGAGCAGATTGTCTTTTCATGGTTCTTGCAGCGGGATGAAACGGCGCCAAAACTCACATGTGCAGACAGATGTGGCAGTGTGTGTTTACATATTGGTTTATAAATGGAGGATAGTAAAGTCTCCCAGTATTTCAACATCATACCCCAGGAGCCATTACCTTCCGCTACTCTCAGGACAATATGTAAACAGACCAGCAGGGAAAAAAAAAAAAAAATTAAATAAAACTGAAAGAATGTTTCTATAAAAAGTGGGGGTGGGAGGATTAGGAGGGCACATATTTTAGGGTGAAGGTCTGCTTTATCTTATGTGATTGGCCATTGTTTGCAGAGTGAACATGCTGTATTCCATTAGTAACTCAGCCTTCCTGTGTGCCATTATTCTGGTCACAAGCCGGATCCTTTCACCTCCAGCCACGTACATCCTGTACTGTTTCCAACCTTCGTCTACTTTCTATCATACAGCTGTGGAGGACTGCTCCTCAGACAGGGCATGCTGGGACTTGCAGTACCACCCGTCACTCCTTCACTGAGACGACAATACCGCAGAACAGCCCGTCCATGATGGTCGCCCCCCACACCGCTGCAACCCCTTTTTACAACGGGCAACAGTCTCCGCCACATACGCTGCACCCGGTCTGGGAAGACACCCCCCCCCGAACCGAACCCAAACTTCCCGTTCACACACCGGCCTCCCCTGACTTACGCGGATTTCATAATCTCCGAATGTGTGCCGCAGAATGCTTAGCCGCACGGACGTCTTTCTCTTTCACTCCGGCTCTCCGTCCCCCGGTTTCGGTCTTTACGCTCTCCGGTAGAAAGTTTCCGCTTCCCGCGCGGCGTATTTTTCAAATCCAGCCAATCACAGCGTGCGTACTGACGTCGCTGCTGAGATACCATCGAGCACGGCCCAGCTAGATAAGCCGTTGTGTGGTGACCAGCACCCCCTGGGGGACAGAGAAGGCTCTGAGTCTCCAGTGTATGGCGGCAGTGGGAGTATTAAAGTGGCTCTAAACTCAGGAGTTCGATCTTAAAACAAGCATTCAAGTACCCTAACTAATAACAAAAATTTATCTTATTTGTGTATCACTCAGCTGTAGATCCTCAAATCATCTCTGAATTGTTGCTAACACTGTCCTTTCTTCTGGAGGGTGGCTACTTTTGTTCCCCATGGTCCATGTGTGTTGTAAAGTAGCCACCACTCCAAGCTCACTCCTGTGATGGACTACAATCTCATGTTTAGTTTACTCAGTTGTATTAAGATTGTAGTCCATCAGGGGAGCGAGCTTGGAGTGGTGACCACAAGGGATGCACCGATACCGAGTATTTGGGCGAGTACTCGTACTCGCCCAAATGCTCCGATACCTTTCCAGATACTAGAACTTTAGGTCAGAGGGAAATTTCCTCTGACCGGCATTGGAAAGATTAAGCCGGCTTATCAGCAAATCAGTGTCAAGCTGGGCAAACAAATCTGATAATATAGCGACACAACCCCCACCCTGCAGGCACCTAATTCCCCTCATATAGATCCTTAGCATTCTTTAACGTACCAGTCCCTTGGCCAGATCTGCCGTCTCCTGTGTGCACAGCGCTCCATGTGCAGTAGCAGGCTGAGGGCCGATCACGTGTGCGCTGTATACACAGAAGACATGGGCAGATTCGGGAGAGCGGTGTCTGCCCAGCTGGCTGGTGGACTGGTACGTTAAAGAATGCTAAGGATCTATGTAAGGGGAATTAGGTGCCTGCAGGGTGGGGGTTGTGTAACCATATTGTCAGATCTGTTTGGCCGGCCTTGATGGCGATTGGCTGGAAAGCCGGCTTCCTGGCCAATCAGCATCCAGCCGGCCAAAACGAATGGAGTCGGCTTCCCGGGCAATCAAGAAGACTTCCTAAATGCCCGGGAAGACGGCTCTATGCTACAGGAAGTACCGGTATCGGTACTCGGTATCAACGAGTACCAAAATATAAGTATCGGTACTTGTACTCGATACCGAAAAACCGGTATCGGCGCATCCCTAGTGACTACTTTACAACCCACACAGGGACCATAAGGAACAAAAGTAGCCACCCTCCAGAAGGAAGGACAGTGTCAGCACCAATTCAGAGATGATTTGAGGATCTACAGCCGAGTGATACACAAATAAGGAACATTTTTATTAATAGTTAAGGTACTTAACTATTAATAAAAAGGACAGGAAAGAAGAAGATCGGATTAAGAAACATCATTTAAGGTAAGTGCTGACATTAACATTGGGGGGAGGGGAAAATATATTTGACTTTAATGTCACTTTAAGGCACAGATTTTTTGATTTAACTTGATATAGATCTGAACGCAGCGCATGGTTACACACCTGTGTCCATGCCCCCATTGAAAACAATACATCTACATTCAGATCCATAAACAAAAAACACTGTGCATAAAGGTTTTTTTGTTGTTGTTTTTTATGGCCGTGTACATGTAGCCTATGACTTTTAGGCAATAGCCCTTGTAGACAAATAAGTGTCATTTTAGTGCAGTTGCATATATTGATGCATTTAACTGACTTCTGGGTGATTTTCATGTACATAAATCCTGAGCAGTTATTAAAGGAGAACTATGAGGTGAGTGCTTTTCAATCATCCTCATAGTCCAGCCGACCTGTGACAATGAGACTGTCACAGGTCGGCTCAGTAGATCGGGAAGTGAGCGAACACATAACGGCGTTCGCTTACTTCTTGATCCTGTCACGGCTATCTGCCGTGACTGGATTCCCCCCTCCCCGATCCTCCAGCGCTGACTGGCGGAACGGACGAGGGAGGGGGGCGGGTACAGCTGGCTCTGCCTCTAGATAGCAGAGCCAGCTGTCACTCACGCAGCTGGGCGGATCCAGACATAATTGCCGGGATCCACTTTTACTGCGGCGTCTCAGTATACCGCGAGCTGTAGCTCGCGGTATCCTGAGCTTAGGGTGACGGGAGGACGCTAGTTTGTGTCCTCCCGTTACCCTAAGGCAGCGGTTCTCAACCTGTGGGTCGGGACCCCTTCGGGGGTCGAATGACAATTTGCCAGGGGTCGCCGGGAGTCTCCCACTATTAGATAGCTATTAAATTATCATTATTATTAGTACTAAAAGCTGACACCCTCGGGTTGTGTTATATGGTTTGCCATTTTAGCTGTTACAGCAGCGGTTCTCAACCTGTGGGGTCGCTGTGTGATTTCTGCTGTGCTAGGTGAGAGTCCTCCTCAGCCCTCACCTAGTGCAGCAGTGTCAGTTCTCCCGTCACGCCTTCTTCCCCTTCAATCCCCCTTTTCTGCTTTTCTTTTCTAGCCCCTAAAGCTTTCCTTCCCTTCCCTCCCCTTTCCCCTGAAGTACGGAGTCCCACCAGTGGTGTATTTTGGTTTTGTGCTGCCCTGGGCAAGATTAAACCCGAGCGCCCTCCCATCCCTAATCTAAATTAGTCCCAACCCTTCCTGTTTATTACATTTTGAATAATCTGTTAGTTGCAGGATACATTGCGCACGGTTCTGACAGGTTGCGCTATCAACGTAGCGGGACGCTCTAGTTCTACCTTTGCAATAGCCACCTCCTCCATTTCTGGCTTGATGGGCTCCCTAGTTCTGCAGCTATAATAACCATTCTCTCCTGCCCTGTCCGGCTGTGCTAGTCTCTAGTTATGCAGCTGCAACACCGATCTTCTGCCTTCATATGCAGTTACCCATCTTCTGCCTCGGCCGCTGGGCTCTGTAGCTTGCCCCGCTCTAGAGACATAACCCGGCACAGAGCTTATAGGCCGCACTCCCCCGGACTCACCACCACGGAGGTGCCGATGAGCATGATGACCTTCTGGATCTCAGCCCTGGGGTCCTGCGGAAGCTCCTCCGCTGCCTGAAGTCCGAGATTTGGTGCTAGTTTCCCAGGGAGGTCCGGCGCATGAACTGCCAGTGCACCAGTACATTACCCAGCACGGTGACCAGGAAGAGGAAGGAGCTGCAGCCGCCATATATGTAGGAGTAGGCAGTATTAGTGTAAAAGTTGGTCTCCCAGTCAAAGAAGCACAAGGTCCAGGAGTACTGGCAGTAATTTATGAATAATTTATAATATCATTTTTTTTCTCTTACCTAACTGGTTTGGGGGCAGCATTTGTTTGGCGCCCCCCTGGAAAGTGCCGCCCTAGGCAAATGCCTAGTTTGCCTTGCAGTAGATACACCCCTGAGTCCCACGAACCAGACACCTCAGACTAGTTTTCTGCAACCTTGATTCTTTTGTACAATGCCTACGACTATATACCCTTTTTCTTGACATTGAGTACATGATGTCTCATTCAACTTCACTGTTTTATTACTCCTTTACTTATTGCCGTGCATATTGATAATGCTGATCTATACTGCTGGCAGTCAATGTATGCACCTGCTTGTTATTCTTTTCATGAATAAAAACTTATTGAACAAAAAAAAAAAAATGTGGCTTGTAGGGAAATAAAAATAAATAAATAAATATTCCCACGGCATGATCACCCCTAGATGGCGCTGACAAGTAATAGATTTTCCTATACTTCATCCAGGGGCGCTAGTGCCACATTTTATGAACAACGCATAAAGTTTAATGACATAGGTTTTAGTCTGCACAACTGCAATGCATAAATGTGAACCAGCCTAGTGTCTGTCCCCACTGCATAGCTCCCAAGTGTCCCTCATTTGGGGGGACAGTTGTTCTCTTGGAACCAAACCCATTTGTTTATCTTCTCTTTGTTTTTTTTAGATTTCTAGTAAAAAACATGTGCTTCATTTCCACACAGCCAGTGTAAAGAATACGTAATTGGTTAACCAAATTATTTTTTGCATATGAAAGCGGAATTAAACTCTGAAAATTGCCAGGTGGGAGGGATTTTTGGCAGAGAAGACATGCAAAGTCTATTCTGCAAAAAAAACTTCTTCCTCTTTCACCCACCAATATTTTATGTTCTGTGTACAATGTACGGCACATGTGCTGTGCAGTCACTTTTGGTTCATTCCTGGAATCTGTAAGAGAGCCTGCATACTACATCGCTGTAGAGGAGTGCACTTGCTAGATAAATGCCCCATAATGTGCAAGTATGCAAAAGCCCACCTTGCACACAGCAGTTTAATACCACTTTAATGGCTCATTTACACAGCCATTTAAAGCTGTACGGCCAGATCAGCGTATGTCTGTGGAGATGTCCATATGTACAGTGCCTAAATCTGGCAATACATGGAACAAATTTTGTCCAATTCCAGGCAAAATTTGATCCATCGGTGGCCTTATCACCACCACCCTCCTCGACAAAATTAGATTTCTCAATCAACTTTTGTTGAAGGAGCAAAATGGATGATTGTCACCATAAAGTGACTGCAGCTGATCAAATGCAGACACTGTTCGGGTAGTCTGACAGCTGTAGATGCTGACTGTCAGAATACAATAGCTAATAGGGGAGATTCCTCTTTCCACACTGTTTAGCATGTGAGGTGTGCTTTTCTCTGAGGGGTTAATTATCCTCCATCAGGACTTGTGCAGCAGAAGGTCTTGTGGGATTTGTAGTGTGGAAGCAGGGAGAGGCAATTCTTATCCAAGCAGATCAAACTACAGTTCCCAGGAGACTTTACAGTTTGGGAGAAGAGTGGACTCAGCCTTCTCTGGAGCGAGCGGGCAGACCGCGTGAGAGTCTGTAAGTGACAGGACATAATGCTGTCTGTTTGATTATCACCCTAGGGAGAGATGGAAGCCTGGTGGTGATTACTGCTGATCCTTGGTAAAGGACTGTTGTGATTCTAGCGGAGGAGACTGCCTGTTCTTCCATTCAGTGAACTCTGACTAGGCTGCTGTGGAGGATTCGGCTGCTGTACCATAGAGAGGCACTGCTGTCTGCACGAACAAATGGATCCTGTAAAGACCCCATGGCTGCTGCCCAGGAACTAGTTGGCTGAGGAGGGGGGCCATCCAAGCCTCATCTGCTGCAGGAGTGGTGAGAGGCCCTTGGCCATTGTGTTACTAAACCTAAGTTAACTCAACCAGGACCTTGGGCCCCAACACAGGCTAGCCGACTCAAGTACCACTTGCCAGTAGGTTAAAGACCTGGGTCTATTTGGACTGTTAGTATTCACAGTCCACCATCATCTGACAGAGTTATGTTAGTCAGTTTAATACTGTTTGCAGTGATACATAGATTGTGTGTGTGTGTGTGTGTGTGCTTTAAGTGCTTCCATTATATGCCCATTTGTTTGCTATTGTTTCTCATGTTGTGCATGTATTAAATTACTACATTATTTGTTTAGTAAAGCATTTACAAAACCCCACAAGCTGTGTTGGTGTGCTGTGGATCTGGTTTGTGCGATTTATCCTGGTGTGGTACCAACAGAATGAATGGTCACCAGCACTCCAAATGTTCTTCAACTCATTAGATATAGCAGGTGATATCACCATGCGTAGCCGTTGCTGTTGGTTGAATACTTGGTGGCGCCATCCGGAGGCCATTTCAGCAAGCCCCCCGTAATATATGGGGTCTTTCAGGGTCAGGAGTGCGGTGGGATCCCATATTGGACCTTATCCTGGTGTGGAACAGAAGAACCC